TAGAGCTGGTGATTTCGTCTACACAACTCGAGTCATTTCAGAAAGACCTACTCGACAAAGAAAAAGGGTTCTCAGTTGATAAGCTTCTTGAAGAGGGCCGCAAATATGAGGCCATTCAAGTCGGTAAACAGTGCCTGCAGACGCTCCACACCATTGGAAGTGGGAACATTGATGCTGTTAGTCACGACAGTAGGCAGAAATGCAGGAACTGTGGTCTTTCACACCTTCCAAAGAAGTGTCCAGCCTTCGGGGACCTGTGCAATGCGTGTGGCGTCAAAGGACACTGGGCGAAGATGTGTCGAAAGAGGAAAGATCCGGTCAAATCGACGATCCCTCCTAGACGTCCACCATCACAAGACAGGTGGAGCTCACAGCAGAGACAGCCCAGAAACAGGCAGTATAGGTCTACATCCTTTCATAGCAGGAACCAGCGTAAGGTTGACGAAATTGGACCGGACGACACAAACCAACCGGACAGTGAGGAACGTGAATTCCACATGATACATATATCGCTAAACTCTATTGACTCGGAGCAGACCGAAGCATATGCGAGTATCAATATCATATGTCCAGACCTGAGGGGTCACCATCGCCTCAATGCAAAGGTTGACACAGGAGCCAGCGGTAATGTTCTGCCACTGCGGACGCTGAAGGACATGTACAGGGCTCGATGGAAAGATGTTATCCGTCCCACCACTACGCGACTATCTGCCTATGGAGAAACACCTTTACGCTGCTTAGGCACCTTGATGATGTCGATGATGTATGAAGGGTCGCCTTGGGTCGTAGACCAAACATGGTATGTTGCGGACGTAAAGGGACCAGTCATTGTCGGACTTCCTACTTCCAGAAAGCTAGGGATTGTTACGATTCACACAGTAGAACAACAGATGGGCCTGGACAGTCCAAATGATCTTCCTCCCATCAGGTCAGCTAAAGACCTACAGGCGGCTTACCCAGACCAGTTTGACCAGATTGGGAACTTCAGTGGCAAGGCAACGTTGCACTTGAAGAAGGATGCAACTCCATCAATTGATGCGCCTCGAAAATGCAGCATCCACCTGAGGGACAAGCTCAAGAAAGAGCTGGATCAGATGGAAAGAAACGGCATCATTAGGAAAGTTACTCATCACACAGATTGGTGCAGTTCCCTCACCACAGCCCTAAAGAAGGATGGGTCATTGCGAGTCTGCCTTGACCCCAAAAGGCTCAATCAAAACCTGAAGAGATGCCCTCATAAGATTCCAACTCTAGAGGAGCTCAATCCCGCATTCTCACAGGCCAAGTACTTCTCGAAATTGGACGCAAAGGCAGGATATTGGTCAGTCCACCTGGACGAAGAATCGCAGGAGCTTACTACATTCAGATCACCATTTGGAAGGTATTGCTTTCGCAGACTTCCATTTGGACTTTCGGTGAGTCAAGACATCTTTCAACAAAGGATGGACACAATCCTTGCACAGGCGCCAGGCTGTGAAGGTATAGCTGACGACATAGCTGTATTTGGCAAGACTGAACAGGAGCATGATGATAATCTCTGGAGACTGATGGGAGTTGCACAAAAAGAAGGTCTGGTGTTCAACAGTACAAAGTGTGTGATCAAGGCGAGAAGCATCAATTTCTTTGGTTCACTGTACACAGACAAAGGCATACAACCAGATCCTAGCAAGTTGGAGGATGTCAGAGAAATGCCTACACCACAGAACAAGGACGATCTCCAGCGAGTGTTAGGGATGATGACCTATTTATCACCATACATCTCAAACTATGCTGAAAAGTCAGCAATACTGCGTGATCTTCTGAGGAAAGATGTTCCCTTTACCTGGCAGGAGGACCATGAGGAATGCTTTCAACGATTGAAATCAGACATTTCAGAAGGAAAGTGTCTACGGTACTATAACCCCAGTGTCCCAACAGTACTAGAGGTAGATGCATCGCTCAAAGGACTTGGAGCCTGCCTCCTTCAGAATGAAAGACCAGTCGCATTCGCCTCGAAGAGTTTGTCAGATGCACAATCCAACTACTCAAACATTGAGCGAGAGACATTGGCACTTGTTTTTGGGATCACACGTTTCCATTCATATCTGTTTGGCAACCGGTTCACAGTCTACACTGACCATAAGCCACTCGAAACGATCTGTAGAAAGCCCCTGGGGAGTGCGCCTCCAAGACTACAGAGACTTCTCGTCAAAATACAGGGCTATGATTGTGATATCCTATACAAGCCCGGAAGTCAGATGACATTACCAGACACACTCAGTAGGTTGCCAAACCCCAGAAAGAGAGGAGACGTCATCGTTGAGCTCCGTGTAGATGAAGTCATGGAATTAGACGAGAATCATGACACTGATCTGGCAAGCTTTACACCTATGAAGCAGACACAGCTGCAGAGAGAGACAGCAAGCGATCCGAACCTGAAGCAGCTGAGTAGAATTATTCACGATGGATGGCCAGACGTGATTAAGCAGGTTCCAAGCAGCTCAAGGATTCACTGGTCATACCGAGAGGAACTGGGCGTCGCCAACGGCATTATCTTCAAAGGAAGACAGGTGTTGATACCTTCAACGCTGCAATCAGACATCCTGGAGCAGCTACACACGAGTCATATGGGTATAGAGAGAACTCGTAGACTAGCAAGGGACACGGTATACTGGCCAGGCATCAATAAGGATATTGAAAACCTTGTCAAGACTTGCCCTGCTTGCCAGGAGAACCAGGATCGGCAACAAAGGGAACCACTACAACCGCACGAAGTTCCAATGACGCCATGGACAAAGGTAGCCACAGACCTGTTTTTTCTTGACGGAACTGAATACTTACTCATTACTGACTATCATTCCAAGTTCCCTGTGATCAGGAAAATGCACAGCACCACAAGTGCTTCAGTTGCTACCGTAATGAAAGAAACTTTCAGCCTCCTTGGAGTGCCCTCCGAAGTTATATCTGATAACGGACCCCAGTTCATTGGAAAAGCTTTCAAAGACATGTGTGAGTCATGGAACATCAAGCACACCACCTCATCGCCGAGATATCCGCGCTCTAACGGCCTAGCTGAACGGATGGTACGCACCATAAAGTCGATGATTCAGAAGTGCAAACAGACAGGACAAGATGTCCAAAAGGCACTTCTCCACCTTCGAGCAACGCCTCAGTCCGACCTGCCATCTCCTGCCGAGATGATGTTTGGGAGGCAAATGAAGACAACACTTCCAGGTCGCCATGACAGACAGATGAGCGATGTCCACGACCAGCTCCAGCGAAGGAGGGATAGGATGAAGAGCGACCATGACAGACATGCCGGCCGGGTACTGCCCCTCCTGAAGGTCGGCCAGAAAGTCAGAACCTTGCATCCAGAAGACAACACATGGCTGCCGGCTGAGGTTTCAAGAGTTTGCCCAGAACCAAGATCATATGAAGTGACAACACCCAATGGTAGGGTGTTAAGGAGAAACAGGTCCCATCTTAGAGAGATGCCGATACAAATAGAGACGACAACAGCACCCCCACCAGGGACAGAGCATCTTCCAAGAGAGGATGGTGACAACTGCACAACACCCGCAGGAACACAGGATTTCGATGGTTCAGTCCCTCGTTCTGATTCTTTTGCCTATGTCACACGATATGGTCGCAAGGTTAATCCCCCATCTCGTTATCAAGAATAAAATCTTCATCGATTAATAGATTGATAAACAACAACTATACTTTATTTGTTTAATGATTTAGCATATCCGGTAGAATTACATTGATGATAGTAAAACCTCATATTTGACATAAGGTGATTCAATTTCTTAATCAGTATACATGTATAACCAAAATGTCTTATATAACTGCCACGCTTAATATTGGTTATCTTTCAACAGAAAATCTCTTTTGTATACAGAACCGAATTTAGCAATTGTATGCCGTGCTCGTGCATGATATTTCAACTCTCCACACAAATACCAGGAATTATAGTTTTGTTACGCAGATTTGTCGTATTGCTAAGTCCTAATTGAAATGGGATGAAAAACGTTTTTTCGAAGGAAAATGTTGTTTATAACTGTTTGCCAGAAAGCAATATGGAATCACTTTAGTTTATTCCAGCAAAAGTTATGTAAAGTATAAAAAGTTGAATTACATTATACAAATATGTCGATTCAGCAACAAAATATGCCTGTTATAGTGGAGGACACTATTTTACCATTCTAAAATTTGCTTTTCTTGTTGAAAGGTACTTGTAAGTTTTAGTTGAACAGTTTTTAGTACTGTGCTTCTCGAAAAAAGAAAAAAAAGAAAAAAAAAAGAAAGAATATGTTTGGAATGTTTCCTCCTGTTGAAATTTCTAAATTGTGTTACTGTTTTAGTGGATAATTTCCGTCATGCACAGTGCATATTGAGCAGGGAAGATACAACTGGTTAAGGAGAGCACTATCAACTTGACATTGAAAGAAGGGGGATGTTGTGGTACTATATGAACAACACCAATAGTTCATTGATGTGCGTAATGAGGCCGCGATTGGCGGAAGGATATGGGAATAAAGCACTTTCAAGATGGCCACTTATACATGAACATTGTCTACAGTGATCTCTTATTTATCCGTTCATCTGATCTTTCAACAATAACAATCATGTTTATGTTAATAATAATAATATTATTAATAATAATAATAATAATAATAATAATATTATTATTAATAATAATAATAATAATAAAAATGACAATAATAATGAAAATAATAATTACAACAAAATTTAACCAGACATTGAATTCGTCACAGAGACGAATTAGGTGATCTGACGCTTTGATCGAGACATAACACATGGAGAAACTCAATGGGAGAGTTGGTCATTAAACAAAATTCCATTATCCACTCATATTACATGCCTATATACAAGCTCATCTAGTAATGAAAGATGTAGAAACAGTAGAAATGAGTGTGCTGAGTTTTTTTCGCTACAACCCTGTTACCATGAAATTAATGACAGGAGTAGGTGAACAAACAATCAAATAACACGTCTCGTTCACAAAATTAAAGTTCTGATTATTTATTATACGAATATGTGGAATCGTACAGAGTAGCAAAAAAAAAAACGATGTTGGCGGTCGAGAATCGTAAGTAGAAAATGAGCAGATGAGAATCGTAAGAGAGATAAAGTAACAAAAAACAAAAGGCATTCACCAAATCTGACAAAAAGACCGAAAGGTTAGACTGCATGTTTAGATTTACGACCGAGCCAAGCATAAAGTGGTGTTCTGAACTCAACTTTTTGTTCAGTTTTTATTCTTAAAGGACATATCCGATGGAAATACAACTTTATATCAATGGAAAGCTGACTGAACGTAGAATACAGATATATTCTCCCTTCTAGTATTGCACAAAAGAAAGCTAGAAATGACGTAATTGATGCCCTGTTTAAAAATGTGTACACTGTATGTGACGCATGTCTGGCGTCACAGTCAGGAACACGATCTACCTTTTCATGGTAACACGTCGGCCATCGATGAAACATATACTGAGCTAGCAAAGCGCTATTGGTGAGTATTCACATTTACATATTTTCATATATACATGGCAAGATCTCCGGTGGCCAACTTGTTATTATAATTTGTTGTCGTTGTTCATATAAACTGAGTATACAAACTAGTTGTTACCAATTACAGATTACTTTATTTCTCACAATTATTCTACAAACTACAAATAATGTTTACTTATGTTTATAATACTATTCAGCTTGTATGCTTTTTCATTACGATATAAGGATTTGATTTCAAAATTTGTTTACGTTTTATGTTCTTGACGACTTGATTTGTTTGGATTTTTTTTTACTTGCTGAGGTTACATTTACATTTGAAATATAACCTGTATTATTTCTGGTGAATCATGTTCACTATTCACCTTGTAATGATGTTTTCGTGTATATATATATGTCTTTATATGTATATTTATGTTATGCAGGGCCCCCAAGTTTAACAGTATTTTAACTACTGATGAGGCTACCCTGTTGAAATAAAACGGGGAAAAAATATATTACCAGTTATGTGACCTGATCCCTGTCGCATAAATTGTTATCATTGATGGTACCTTTGCAACTTCCATGGAAACCTTGATTTGATTGGCTCTTGAGTGAAAGATTGATGGCAAATTTACCATCAAAGGAATTTTGTATGCAACAGGACAGGTAGCACAATACCACCCCCAAAATAAACATTTTGAAATAAAAGAAAACGAGGATAATCCACAAACAACTAACCTCATCATACTAACAACCGATTAAATGCTTATGGCATAAATTTATAATATTTAAATCAATTCTGTATAGTAACTTTCTTCACGTTTTCTCGGTATTTGATAACCATACTCGTCAATATCATCATCAATTGGACATCGATCCACCATGCTTGCCGACGCTGAAGTCATCATTGATTCACTCCCTGGTAGAGTGTAACCATAGTCATCAACGTCGGTATCAGTGACCACGGCAGTTGTTGGCATCATCCTGGCTGTCTGTCGTAGGTTAGATGAGACACTGCTTAAAGATAGTGAAGCACTGGGTAACCTGGATGCATTCGGACCATCGGTTTCCCTCGTTGGAATGTCACTCATATCTGCATAGGTATGTATGACCTGTAATTAAAAAAAATATCAATGTACATGGATATATAAGCTACCTCTGATTACAGATGAACACAGATTTAAACAGCATTGTAGTGAATGAATAATAAAAGGTGCATACACACGGGACCATCGTACTTTTACATTTTAAGTTTGTGAAACCTGGAAGATTCTAACAGTGTTCTAGCGGGACCAAAACAACGAGTGCTCACAGCTATAAGCCCAATTTCACAAAGTAGGTTTGTCGACAAACTTAGGTCTTCGTGCGTCATATGACGCGTTTCTACAAACCAGGTTTGTAAAAAAAAATGCGTCAAAACGCGTCATATGACGTACATAAACCTAGGTTTGTCGACAAACCTCCTTTGTGAATTCTGGCCATTAAGTACAAGCCGAACTAGCAGTCGTTGTTACAACAGGTCGGAAAAACCTCGACGTTGATTGCGTCGGCACGCACAGCACGCAACTTAGAGTAACGAACCCCATCCCTGCTAACAATAAGCGATTTAGGGAATGCCCCTTAACTCGTCAATTCTTATAGGATTTTGAGAAATATACCCAGATTGTGCTGTTTACCTGTGATACCTCTGGTGATGGAGATGCAACCGAACTCTCTACTTGATTAATGTCGTCTTCGTTTCTCCTGCACGCTGTTCTGCATCGCTTTTCCTTAGAGTATCTGCAACTGATTATGAAAAGGAAAATCATTGTTTCGCCACAAATCTTGATATTTCTTAACCGAACCATGTTTTGCTTTGCTTCGTTAGGCATTTTTGTTGTTTAATTGGACATTATTGTGTCAACCACAGATTCAAAATGATTATTATACACGAATTAAATTGGGAGCCATAGTAACTTATACGAAGAATAACATGGTTAAAGTTGATCAATCCTGCATTCATCATGCATGCTCACTGTAGAATAATGTAATCATGTTGGCACATGAAAACGCGACAATAATGTTGTTTATTGGGCAGAGGACTCATTCAAAATTCTTCTCCTGTGCTACAAAGCTATCAATGGCTTAGCCCCCTCTTACCTTTCCGATCTCATATCCTTACGTTCCCGTACGTCGTCACGAACACTTCGTTCATCTTCCACATTACTGTTAACACCTGGACCCCGCACTAACACCCGGTATGGTGACCGCGCCTTTTCAGTTATTGCCCCCGCTCTCTGGAACAAACTGCCCGCCTTTATTCACTGCGCCCCCTCTGTATCTCAATTCAAATCTCTACTCAAAACCTATCTTTTCAAATTGTAAATTGCAGTTGTGCGTCGGTCAATGGAGGTGCGCACCATATTTGTCTTTATTTAGTTGATTGCCACTGTTTTTCTTACCTTATCTATGTTACTTTTGTATTTTTGCTTTTTCTTCTAATTTAATTCTACGGGTTATAGTCTTCTCTTAATCAGAACACTGTGCGCTTAGAAACATCAGTATTAAGCGCCTAATAAATGTTATGTATTATTATTATTATTATGCATGCTCACTGTAGAATAATGTAATCATGTTGGCACATGAAAACGCGACAATAATGTTGTTTATTGGGCAGAGGACTCATTGTCACTCTTTAAACGAATGTGGATTTTCAAATGTCTAGCTCTTCAAGCAGAATTGTACATGTTTGTTATAAAGTACTGACACGCAGTGGCGTACGCAGGATTTTTTCAAGGGGGGGGGGGGGTTAACATTTTGAAATCGGGCCAAAATTCCGCAACGACTCAGCCAGCCGCTGAATAAGAGGGGGGGGGGGCGGAGAGAAGTGGACATATATTTTTATTTTTTCCGTCCCGAAATTTGAAAATTTGACCGATCGACATTCAGTTCCGTTTGGGGGGGGGGGGGGGTTAGGTCATCCATTAGGATTTGTTTATTTAAAAAAAAAATTATTTAAAAAAAAACTTTAAGAAAACAAACAAACTCAAAACTCAAAAGGAGGGGGGTGGGGTTCCCCAAAAACATACACTAAAAAACTGAATGGGGTTACCCCCCCCCCCTGCGTACGCGCCTGCTGACACAGGTGTATTAATAAAAGAAATCCCTCTTATGATCACTTCTATTATCTTCGTACCTCATCAAAATAGAAACAAGGAGTACGACAAGAACAACGGAGATGACAAGCGTGGGAACAAACACTGATCGGCCTTTCCGAACATGTACTTCGGATGCTAAGAAGGAATAAACCAAAAACAGACAGAGAGCAATTAGTTCATTTAATGATCTTGTATGAATTCATACAGCAATACTTACCTTCTGACTGGTTAATGGTTAATGTTATTAATTTATTAGTGAATAATTTGAATTGTAAAGAGCTATGAACGATGCTAGAAATAAGGTCATACCAGTTTTAGTTACATTATAATGCCGACATTGGTAGTAAAAGATGACCTTGTGATCATAAATGATTAATTTAAATAATAAGAATGATAGCAATACTAGTCCTTACCTCCTACGACATGTATATTAATCAATTAGTAAAACGTTAGCGTGCGGTGATGGGAGCCACTTTGTGATTTTTGCCACGTTGCTGCAAAATGATATCGAACCAATTATAAGAAACAATACCGTTTTAGGTGTGCATAATGATATTCTTTTCTGCTCTTTTCTATTTAATATTAATGAATGCTATTTCCATTTTCCCATTTATTTGTTTCTTTCCACAGAACGGTCGATCAGAGTTTATGAATCCCATATATTTGCAAGGGATCAATGGATGCTGGTGAATAACAAATTGATATCATGAAAGGTGAAGGCGAAATAAATATTCATGTTCTAACCACTAAGTTGATATAGAATTTGAAATTTAACGGAAAGATCGTGAGAAATGAGGAATAGAGGAAGTGTTCACGAGTGCTTTGATGGAAGTATAGTTGTAAAGTTGTATGGATGTATAGTTTCCTACGTTCTGATTGGTAAAAACTATACATCCATTCCATGGCTGTATAATTGTAAAGTTATACAGCATGATGGTATGTACAGTACGGTCCACTATAATATAGTCTCTGGTAGTCATGATAGATGGCTCGATGAGAGAGGAATGAAAGAGCAGGGAAAGGAGCTCGTGATGAAGGGTAGAAATAGCATAAATAGAGAGTTGAGGAATAATATGATCGCCAAAGTCGAGAGAGAGCGAGAAAAAAAGGGGGAGCGGTTCTTGCTGATTGCTATATCATTCTCTTTCTACGTCATATTACAATTTGTTTTAAGTATATTCTTACTGTCCACTTTATATAATGCTATTGATAGAGAGACAGGGAGTGGAGAGAGAAAGGGAGAGAGAGAGAAGGAGAGAGAGAGAGAGAGAGAGGGAGGCATTTTCAAGAGGTATCTTTTGTCGATCTGCCCTTTAAATGAACCGTGATGATGAGCATTGTGAATGAAATCTATTGGTGATTTGAACAAAATAAATGACGCTTCAAGTTTCTAGTCCTTGTCTTAGTCATTGTGTTACTCTCGGTTTCACTTTGCTTCTAGAAATTATGATAGCTTCATCAACAATTCGTCCCTATGTTCACGAAGTGACGGTAGTGAATGAAAATCGCATACAATTTGCGTGCGGATTTTCCTCACTACCGTCACTTCGTGAAAATAGGAACGAATTGTTCAAACATTGTTTACACAAAATTGTCAAATTACATCTTCATAAATACTTAGGTAAAATATATTATACCAATAATGTTGACGAACCACTTTAGGGTTACACTTCATGGGATGTAGTGATCTGTGTGCTCTTCTGATATTTTAATGGGATTGATGTCAATGTGCCCACTGGAATAACAACTACCGATATGTGCCGGTTAAAAGTGTTACATGAAATATCTATATATAATTTATATAGTGCGGAAGGAAATAGAGAATAATAATTGCGTATAGCTTTAACCAAAGTTCCCCATTGTTATCCTTCCTTTTTGGAAATTTGTGCAAAGGTTGACAAAATATCTCCATCGGGAATCGAACCCGGGTCTCAGGCTTAGATCGCCATTAGGGACTTTTAAATTGAGTGGACGACAATGGCGTGAACGTCCACTGATCATGCGTGTCCCTGGCAAGCCGTTTTAACATTTTATTCCTATTTCTTGATATCAAGAAATGATTTTTTTGTTGTTTTAAAGCAATGGTAATTCTTGATATCAAGAATTGAATTCTTGATATCAAGAAATAGCAATAAATGTTAAAACGGCTTGCCATGGACACGCATATAGCGTAACCTCACCTGGAGGTTGCAATGTAGTCCTTGGGAGGGACTGGCAATGTGGAATCTTCTTGTCCCAGTCTGACTTGTGGGCATCATCATTCGGTTTGCAGTCGATTGATTTGCTACCATTGATGACGTAACCAGGTTGACATGTTAAGGTGAGTCTGGATCCAAGGTAGGTGCTAGTTGATGACCACGAGCCATTAGCAACGTCTCCAGGGTGTTCACAGGACCCAGTGACTTGAATGAACGATATGGTGATTTAATAAACAAATTCAAACAGTCACTCAGCATAATCATTTCCCAAATGCCAGCACGAAATTACAAGTATTTCTTGCTATTACACTCAATAAACCTGTACCAATCATTTACGAGTAGGAAAACGCACCATACATCACTTTCAGGATATTACAAATCAAACGATTTATAATTGATTAATATAAAGTATGAATGAATGGTGGACTGGACGTATTTCTAGGTTATCATGTGAATTTTCTTTAAATAAAATCATACGCCATAATTGCACCCACTGTGAAAGAACCGGACGATTTAGTATTTCCGACCATGAAAAGATACCCGGTAAAATCATTTTGTTAGCCATCAACCATAGCGGAAGGCAGACCATCTACTAATCTTTTTTACAGAGTTCGGCCAACTTGGTTTTTAGTTACACGGCACTTGGCGCTATTTCTTTTGTTTTGTGCTCGCCCAACAAAGCACTCTTCGCCATATCGTGCCCGACTAGAACCGGATTGGCCAAAATCTCCGAATGAGTGGCACTGGCGTAAGGAAGATATTGAACAGACTGATAATGTTATGGTAAAATCAAATAATGTCTATGGCAAAAATATTCTCTTTGTTTGAATTGTTTTAGTTTTATTTATTAGGAGTACTGAGTCAGAAACAAGCTCAGTGGAAGCACGGCAAGCACGGCAAGCACGGTGTCATTTTTCCGGACTTTTTTTCGACAAAGATAAAGGAATGCGGTAAGGGATGCAAGTAGGTTTTATACCGGAATTTTTTAGGGTGAGATATGATGTCTGCTTCAGGGTTAATGTAGGATAATGACAACCGGGCGATTGCCGGAGGAGCATAGATCGTAAACCCAGCAATCATCCACTAAAAAAATATATCGAATGATTCATACCATCGTAATGAAAGGCCCAGTAATATGTTCCTAGGCTGTGGTCACCTTCTAGAGCGCATCTGTAATTATCTTGAATTACATTGTGAATTACAGATTGAGAGATGTTCAAACAGTAGCATCCATACCACATGATTGCTGCTAACTCAAATGAATTCGAGGAGCACGTGTACATGCAGTCACCAACATCAGTGTCAGTGGATCTCTGGTATGTTGGGAAGTTTCGAGGAAGCGGGAAGCATCCACGATATGCAAAATCTGAGGAGCATATGAAACAAAACTTTAATCTTGCAATACTCACGCAAATGCAAATTCACAAAACAAATCCAGCAGTAAATGATACTTTTAAATCATCGACACATTTTACGGTATAGAAAGGACCATATACATGTATAAGTAAAGAAATGAGCATGAAGTGGCAACGGCTTACATTACATTATCATAGGGTTAACGACGTGTATGTCATGCGGATTGCGTGAACACTGCCAGGAATGAACGCAAGAATGAAATTTCAAGTTAAATAGTCTGCATATATATATATACAAAAGATATATTTCACATTATCAGTTTGTATATTGTAAGACATTTTTAGGTATTCTTATTTTTTAAAGTATCGATTGTAATAGTAAATTCATGAAAACAAAATTATGTTTTGTTTTGTTACGTTTTCTAAACTGATTTGTAGCAAAATGCTTTGTTTAGCAGTTTAAGGGGTTAGGTTCGACTAGCACATGAATTATTATCTGGCCCCTTTTACCAACCAATAGTTTCTCTTCTTGTATGCGTAAACACATTGTATGAAATTTATTACTGTATTGCTGTTAGTAAATAAAATTAAAATCAAATCCATAGGGGAATAATAGAAATAACCTTGACGAACTTTCAATATATTATTTGACATGCTATATTTCGTACGTTGTTATCATTTACTTTGTTAGTATATTCGTAAAATTAATTGAAACCCGTTGTCGAAATATCACGAGTGATAACGTGAAAGCGGTTTGTGAACTGGATGTATTAAGATTAAATATGAGAAGTTAAATTGCTATATGTACTTACTGAAACACTGTAACCTGCTTGCTTTCACCGCATCTTCCCTCTTAACATTCCAAGTGCACTGCTGAAGCAAAAAGTTGGCTGAAAGAAAAGGAGTAAAAAGAGTACGCAATCACTAATTTATGTTAAACTAGGGGTCTTTTATCAAGCTAAACTGCAGGTCAGGGAGGGTTATGTCTGATTCTTGAAGTGAATATATAAATATTCTAATAGCAATGTATTTTTTCAATGTGTTGCTGCTGCTGCTGCTGCTGATTTATAAAGTTCACTTTTTATTTAAAGATAAAGACCAGTTAATATGGTCATGCGGTTGCATTGCGAAAGAAATGTTGTGGAATCGATCAGAAAAGGTTGATCATCTAGCATAATACATGTATTGGTGTGTACTGCAAGGTTCTGGAATCATCAAAATGATTTTAAAAAAATATGGCCCAGTCTTGGTAAAGTTACAAGCACTGTACACAGAAAGATGTATGTGACACTACCCTATATCTATCAGGTCCAAATAGATATACTATTTTACCAAATATATCAATTAGTTGGCAGTTTCTCGGCAAAATTTGTATCATTACGTATTAGTCAAAACATATTCTTTCACATGATTGGTAATAAGAGCTTCTTTTTTTTTTTAGAGGGGGGCGTTTCCAAAACTGGTCTTTACCTTTAATAACAATTTGGTAATCATGGTTTTGATTTGTCAGGCTGGTATCCAATCTTTCACTCTCGCAAACATATCATGGTTGTTCCTTATTTCCTTATACCATCTCTATATTGATCAATCCATTTTATCAATATGACTGGAAATCTTTGTACCAAATTTATATGCCACGTGTGTGCAATGTATGAGGTTTTCAGCAAGACTAACTCCATATATGATCATTTTAACGATTCTAGTATAGAAGTATTATTACATATGGCAAGATCTGTCTCCAATAGTCAAAATGGAAAGTAGAACATTGGAAAAATTGATAACTTGATAACTGATGGTTTAGAAAGGAAAAAAAAGGGATTAAAGGACACCTCATCCCAAAGAATGATTTAAGGTGTTGTGAATAATGAGGTGTATTCATGATGCCCTTTGATTAACAATATTCATTACAAATATGTACATGCACAAGAGATATATAAATAAAGATATTCTTGGCATGATGAGATGCCTTTTAGCATAGCATAGGCGCAACCATTTTGTTGATAATGTGACGTAGGCATACTAGTTGAAGTTGTACATGAATCATGCACCAAGTTTGGGTTGGAATTTTTCAAATCAATAATGAAATCGTTACTTTTCAAAGAGGTAAAGTCATAGCTGAGCAGGGCTCAAATTAATTTTTTGTCCACGGGGGCTCTTCCCCCCCCCCCAAAAAAGAGCCCCCGTGAGCCTTCTCACGGGGGCTCTTTTAGTACTGACGGGGGCTCTTTTTTATACAAATATCCATTGAATTGGTACCTATGATACTCCTCAATTATTTGCTATTTCATCATTATCATTCCAATCAGCATTTTCCCTCTTACAAATTTACAAGCTACATACCGTAGCTGTTACTGGCCTGTGTATATAATATATACGCATACAACACTGATCTTTATGATGTCTTTAACGTGACATATCTTCTTCTCCCCTTGCAAACGAGAAAGAAAACAAGGTCATTAAAAGGGATTAAGCGACAAATAATGATTGTGATTCAAATTGATGCGAATATTTGTTTGAATAAGCACTGCTATTCACCCGAATCTTCTTTGTAAAAACAACTTTTACAAATCTCAGTCATGCTTACTGAGTTGAGACGTTCCATTCAATGTAAAATACTCATTAAAGAATACACTTCTCCTAATCTGAAAGTGATCTTACAACACAGTGGCAGATTTGCATGGCTGAGATTTGTAAAAGTCGTTTTTACAAAGAAGATTCTGGTGAAAAGCATTGCTTATTCAAAAAAAAATCCTTGCATCAATTTGAATCACAATGATTATTTGTCGCATGATCCTTTTATTAAATAACCTTGTTTTCTTTTTTGTTTGCAGGGGGAAAAGAAGCTATGTCACGTTAAGAAATCATAAAGATCAGTTGTATTATGCGTATATACATTATGATACCAGAACAAATGTTGATTATCAGAATGTCATTTTGGAATACCTCTAAACAAATACCACATTGTCTTTAGCCCGTATCAGTATTAGTATCATGCAATATAAAGCTATTATTCTTTATTTAATTCAGTATAATGCTTTTCCTCAAAAATAGTTTTGCCATTTTGTTAGGGTTGAGACGCTAAGAAATGGTTTCAAATGTACATTACACGAACCCTGAACCATTGCAAAATGATGGTGGTTCTCTCTCTCTCTCTTTACTTTAATCATGCATTATCAACTACATATAAAGCAGCAACCAAAAACTTAGGGTTATCTGAGATAGGTGAAAGTAAGAGTTAAAAAGAAAGTCATGCTAAAACGGCGCTTCACTCCCCCCCCCCCCCCCCCCATGAAAAAAATAAAATAGATTAGTAGTCCTCCTCTCCAGCACCCCCCCCCCCCCCCCCGCTTTAATATCACATTTTCACTTGGCAGCCCAAGGGGGCCGGGGGTGGGAGGAGGGGGGTTAAACCCCTAACCCCCCCCCCCCCCCCCGTAGATCTGCCCATGTTACCATATCATTCCACGACATCTTGGTCTTCCTCTTCTTCTCAATAGGGACTTTTAGATTTGCGTGGACGTGGACGTGTTACGTCCTTTTAAGGCACTGGCAGTCACATGTCACGTCCTTTTAAGCACTGGCACTGCCTTAAAAGGAGGTCACACGTTTCAGTCCACGTTCCCATCGTGCAAATCTAAAGGTCCCTAATATTGATTTACTGGTCGAGGTTCATTATTTGCTATTCATTTGAAATCACCAGATTTCAGCGGGTTAACGCTTTCACAACGAAAAACTTCTCCATGACCATGTTTCTGCCCTTGCGCGATCGCCTCCAGCTCCAGCAGACATAGCGCGGCAGCGTGCACACGTACCGCTACTAAGGGCGCAGTAGGCCTATAACCACTGCTGACGGCGGCACTGCACTGTGAGCTGAATCGGTAATAATAGGCCTACTCATAGAACGAGAAATCTTGCACGCTAATCTAAATTCCATTTCATTTGAAAATTGAAACTCAATATCGTGTTAAAGTTATACCAGAAAAGAAAATCTTTATATTATAATTCCACGGGGGCGATTTTTTATTTTGCAATCGCCCCCGTGAGCAACCTGACGGGGGCGATTATGTAGCTCACGGGGGCGAATCGCCCACCGCCCCCGTGTATTTTGAGCGCTGTAGCTGAGAAATAATATTTGGTGAAAAACGTATAACAGGGGAACGATTGTATTGAGTTCAATAAAAAATACTAAAATAAAGCATTTGAAAATTCTATTTCATTTATGAAAAACCGTCACCCCAGAAGAGCACCAACTTATTTATGCAATTAGCAGGTGAATGAATTGCTTCAGCTGGAAAGGAAATTGCTTCACCTGGAAAGGAAGCATCCATAACTAATACATTTACTTGATAAACGACTTCACATAGTACGTCACGTTATATAGAAAATGGCAGTGGCGGATCCAGGGGGGGGGGGGGGGCCCGGGGGCCCGAGCCCCCCCCCCCCCCTTGAGAAAAAAAAATCATGTAAAATCACGTGATTTTTACCTTTTTGGGGGGTTGGGCCCCCCCCCCCCCCCTGGCGCTCAAGGGGGGGGGGGGTGCAAATTGAAATTTTTTTGAGGATCAAAAAAAAAAAAATGTGCTTTTCGGCCGGCGCGATTTTCAAATTTTCGGGAGCAAAAAAAAAAAAGTTGGGCGCCCTCCCCTAAGAAATCCTGGATCCGCGCCTGGAAAATGGCGATGCCCCATGTCGTGCTTAGACTTTGCTTTATGCCTCTCTTATACACTTTAGTGGTGAATCTTGTAGATTAATGGGCGAGAATATAATAAATATCTCAAAATATTAGTAAAGTTATTTCTTGGGATGAGGTTTTCTCTACGACCCGGATTAGGCACCACCAACAATAGTGTACATGGTAGAAGAAAGCAGGACAAAGAAGAAACGAGTGTACATATGGAAGTAGAATAAAAATCAAATGATTTGATCGAAAAGAAATCTGATTGGCCATCAATCTCCGATGACTATTGAATATCAAATATTTACTTAAGTTTTTTCGGGAAAAATTTACATTTCATCAAATAACAGTTCATACAATTTACTCACAATAATCGCAAACAATGCTTGCACAAGCCGATTTGTTATATTGTGCCTCTACCTCACTTCCAAAGCGATAGACTCCAGGAAATCCCAACTGCCTACAGGTGAACTCCGCCAGGTTTGAACTCCAACTTTCATTGCAAACAGGTAGCCACTGGTTTAGGGGATTTGGATATAAACCTCCAAGCTTCCCTCGTTAGCTTCAATGCTGTTCTCGAGTCTCATGTTGCTTGTTCTCTCTACACGATTAGATTACATTCAAATCTTTGTTAAAATCGAAGTGAAGTTGAAGTGGATTGCAAATAATAAGTACAAAATGTAATTAAAGCTATACTCATCCTCACATTAAAGATAATGAGCAAAGCAGAATTTGTGAATTGTAAAGCGAAAAACTTGATTTGATGAAGAAAAAGATCAGAATCATGTTATCAAATTTTGTTTGAACATAAAAGGAAACCGCGTGGGTCGATCACTAAAGACAATTGACTTTTATTAGGCAATTTTTTAATAAAATAATGATTCAAATTGTTACTCTCTTTTAAAAACTTTTACATTCCTGCAACTTTGCTTGATGTGGACGATTTACCAATCTACTTCACAATAACGGTTAACGAAGTGAATATGTAACTTATATAGCTTCCCTACTTTTTGCACTGAGTGAGTTTGATCCGTCATGTCAATGCAAGATTATGAAATTTTCGACATGAAAAAAAGGAAAAGAAAAACATCCTTATCCTGCTACATTTCTTCGAACCATGTTTATCAACAAGTAATAGTTTTTAAATCTATCAATTTCGTACCGAATGAGTATACATATTGAAAATGTTGGTCCACTTTTGCGAGTATGATCAGTAAAAAAATTATAATGGTATTAAATTGGCTTACAAGGATATGAAAATAAGTTTCACTTTTAGGACATTGCATGTATAGAGAAAAAACTTGCTTTTTATTCTGCATATCGAAGATGTGGCACAGGATGGTTTTAGGATAGATTATTTTTGACAGAAAATGAGGAGACATAATATGAAAGGAAACCCCTATTCCACAAGAGAAGGGAAAGTATAGATTATAAAGCACATTACTACTATACAATTTTATGAAGTTCATCCTCAATAAACAAAATCCTATTTAGAGTCTCACATTGATTCATATACGGCTCTCAATGAGCTGATTCTCCAAAGCCCTTAATGTTGATTTTTTTTTTGGTTTGTGTTTCCTTTTAAAAGAATACTAATTCTGGACATTACTGATCCTGTCACAAACCGCCCTATTTCTAAATGGAATGAGCACACACCTGATTTATCATAGCAATGAAGTGCCAGACGGAAACCTTTGTAAGAGGTGAATCCATTTGATTTAAAAGTGACAACAAGAGAGGTTCCTGTTGATAAGAAGGGAAGAACACTCAGGCCTTGTCCAGAATAGTTTCGGCTGTTGAAGTGTCTCTCTGGATCCAGTATTCCCAATACGTCATACGCTTGTTCGGTACTGAAATCTTCGAAGACGACGGCGATTTCCTTGTTTGTTGGTGCTGTGATATTCCACTTGGTATTTACGCCGTAGTCATATTTGTTGGGGTAATTACCAGATGTAAGCCTCCTCGTTTCATTGCAAGTTAAGCTGATCATTTCTCCTGTTAGAAAACATGCATACTAATGTATATAACGTTATCGTGTAAAGATTTTTTTTTAAACAACTGTTGTTACTTTTTGGCAAACATCACAATGCATAGTTAACTCATTATTTTACATTTTAAACAAAATTAGTACAAACATTCATATTACTTTTTATACATAATCACGGAAAAGTAAAAAAAAAGGCGGAATCGAAGGAATGAGCATTATTGTAATAAATCGAATATTTATATTTACGGTTACCATTGCTCCATGGTAGTAGTAGTAAGAATCCGAAGAAAATGATTATATCCAAGTAATGTCCCGACTCCATGATTTCTAGGTAGGTGCAGTTACCATGAGATGATATGAGAGTACTACATGTTATACTTCCGTGTAGTATTATATCAGACGTCATTATGATCCGATACCATAATCATAACTATATACGGAATGACGAACAAAGGACTAATTTCCCTGGGGAGGGGTAATTTCTTCTCGGTAGTAGCATTTATAAACTCACTCGATGAAGATTATAGTTGCTCGGAAATTAAAGCGAATAATCTTTACATTTTTGAGTTATTCTAAGCCATGCGGCCTTATTAGTGGGCAGAATATCGCCATTTCGATGGGGGGGGGGGGGGGTGATTTCTGTGTGTGTGGTTTCGTGTGCCTTCTTTTTTTTTCCTTTGACGGCCGTGGGTAAAACAATTTCCAAATAAAAAAAATATATATATGTCATGCACTTGATAACAAAGTCGTGTAAATATTAGCATACGTTTCATAGCAACCCATTACCTAATAAAACCTTCTATATATCAAAACTTATGGGAATAAAAAATGTCATTAGTCAATGGGTTAAATGATTATCTTTAACTTGTAATTCAGGCATAAACCGTATATACTACCAAAATTTGGTAGTCCAAATAGATAATAAAAAGTGCAATGATAACTTGGCAATTTGATAATAAATTGACCACTTCCGTATATAGGAAAATATTTTTTTTATAATAACGTAATAGACTATAGTATTGACGATTAGACTGAAAGGGCCGTGAAAGCACAATAATTTGTTGTTTGATTTGTTAATTCCTGAACACAAAACACAAAGATCGGGAAGGGGGAACCTCTCCGAGTCAACGAATGATATATTAGCAATTAATGAGGTATAGTTTATGCAAGGCTTAATCAAAACAGCGCCATCTTGTAATATTTGTATTTTCGTTCCCCGAAGATTAAGAAAGGTATTATCTATTAATCTGCATCTTATGCTTCTCATAAACAAAATATAAATAAATCAACACAAGCTAATGTGTATGGACAAAATTAAATTCCGGCTACACGATGAATTCATTTCATTAGCAGATAACTAGACATTCAATGATTGTGATTGATAATGATAATAATAATAATAATAATAATAATAACAATAATAATGATGATGATGATGATGATGATGATGATGATGATGATGATAATAATAATAATAATAATAATAATACTCCAGCATTGTATTGTGCCATCGATCTGGTAAACTATTCTGAGGCGCAAAGGGAGATCATTACCCCGGGTTTAACACGGCTGCCATTACGGCGTTTCAAGAAAATTAATTCCCGCCAGGTACCCATTCACATTCACATGGGTTGAGTGTGGCAAATGTAGATCATTGTCTTGCCAAAGGACATTAGTGTCAAAGCGGGACTCGAACCGCGGACCTTGTGATCGACAGTCCGGCGACGTTTTCACTCGACCATGACATCTCTACTGATAGCTAATTTTAAGATAATACAGGTGAATTATCAAAAAGTTATACATGTAGGGATCCGGGCTAACTAGGGCCCGGGGACAACTCGACCCCGCTGCAAGACCGGTCATTTTTTTAGTCATTTTACCCTAACCCTAACCCTATCACTAACCTAACTCCATATATTAAGGGGATATAAGGATATATATATATATATATATATATATATATGAATAATAAAGAAAATTGAGATCAATCAACTTTCAAATTCAGTATAAGCAGGAATATTGAAGACAGGATTTAATTCACTTTTTTTTTTTTAAAGAAGACGATTTCAAAGACAACTATAAATATTCCTATCAATTTAGTCTTTCGTAACAAAAATTTACCATTTTTGAGGTTTAACGAACAAATTTAGGTTAATAATGGCTAAACGTGTTTTCAAATTAAAGAATATACTTGACACTCCTGGCACTCTATAATTATTACCCCGGCTTTAGCATAGCAAAAATGAAATATTATTATAATAAATGTGTCTATGGGTACATTCTGAGGCATTTCTGAATGAGTAAACTAAACATTTATTTTTTTATTTTTTTTTAATTCATTTTTTTTTTTTTTGGGGGGGGGGGGGGGGGATGGAAGATGAAAATTAAAATGAAGGTAAAAAAAGGGGGGCCCACTCACCCCTAGATCCACCCCCTGATTTCGATTTTAGTGAATTAAACACCCCCCTGATTTAATTATTTTTGGGAACATGTAGGCCTATTTGTTGTTTTACATAATTATTGCTATAGATCTACCGTCTTTTAAAGTGTACACAATAAAGGTTGATGATAAAAGAAAACAATATTGCAAGGATTTTTGCCTTTATTCTTGCATGATCATTAGCATTGATTTTGACTGTGTACATAGGGAGACTAGCTTACACAACTATGATTGATGGAAGAAGAAGAAGAAGAATAGGGGTAGCATATATTGGCACCAAGAATAACGGCGATATGAATATTCATTATTCCCTACGTCACAGACGTGCGGCGTGCGTACTCTGTCATATACACATGTATTCAGTACATGAGTACGTTCGTAAGCATTAGGTCATGTACATTGCTCCGGAATGAAGAGAATCATTATAAAGGACGAATTACTCCGTGAAGCCAAGTACAAGCAGGGAATTGAAAATAGCAAACGTTCCTCGGAGCGGCTATACATTCCCTAATCTACCTAGTTTTGTAATGATAGTTTATTTAGGATAATGGACATTAAGTAGGCCTATTGTTTAGTTGTTAAATAACATCACTCAGTGTGATTTGATTCGAGATATATCTCATTAATAAAACAGTATAAAGGCTGTATGAGTCTCGAACGAACCATATCGCCACTAATCTTGGTGCCAACACCGTTAATCTATGCTCCAAATTTAGTAATACATTTTGTGTGCCCTATAATGACCCGGGGTTGGATAATTTAGGAGAACAGAAGATTGATATTGTTAAGTTGTTTCATAACATCACTCAGTTTGATTTGATTCGAGATATATCTCATTAATAAAACAGTATAAAGGCTGTATGAGTCTCGGACGAACCATCGCCACTAATCTTGGTGCCAACACCGTTAATCTATGCTCCAAATTTAGTAATACATTTTGTGTGCCCTATAATGACCCGGGGTTGGATTATTTAGGAGAACAGAAGATTGATATTGTTAAGTTGTTTCATAACATCTCTCAGTTTGATTTGATTCGAGATATATTTCATTAATAAAACAGTATAGGCTCTATG